CAATGCCATCAAATGATCTGATCGCTGTTACATGGAAGACCGAGAGACTACCGGACGATTTTACAAAGTTCAACTTTCAGCTGATCGCTGCTCCACTCTTGGACACATGCTCTCATTTCACCATTCTAGGACTAGAGCTGAAAATGAAGTCAGACTAGGGGCAAGATAAGTGTCCCTTACAAGTCGGTTGAAGGCACAGGCAGAAACGCTGTGGAGAAGTTGTATTGCTACTGCGTAGAGATTGGTCGCTTCCACGGAAGATCTTCCCATAGGTAGTCTGGGCCAGGAACAGCCAAGAGGCTAAGCTGACATGCTCGCGTTCGCTCATGCGGCAGCTCCCGCCCGGCCCGCCGCGCCACCAAGCGCAGCCCGACAACATGTATTTGCCAAATCAGGAATGATATTGCGGGTAACAGCTGCAAGGGACTTAAAAAATGGAGCAGTGCATATAACAGTATACTCACTGTCTTCGTGATGTGAAGCAATATGATCACATTCGCCAGCTGATGTCGGTGGTCTCGCCTTGGCTGCGCGCGTTGAGTAAGCGCTACGCCGCGCTGGGGGAGCACACGGTATGTACATGTCTCAAATGTTGAACTCTTTTTGAAAATGACAAGACTGATTTGACACTCCAACAGAATTGTCCCGTATGGCCAGAGCTTCTTGCAGTCCGGGGCCGTAAGTCTTCTGTTGTTGTCTCACTTTAGCCGCAGAAGGATTTTAGTTCCCAATGTCTTGACCGGCGTTGTTCTCTATTGCAATATCTTCCGTCGGTGTTATGCATAATATCCCGTTCTGTCTCATAGACAGCATGCCAATTCTCATGCAGGCGAGAAGTCTGCGCGCAGTGTGGATTCTTCTATCATGTTGCAGCAATAAGATTATATTACGGATCGTCCTCCACAGTCTTCTTGGTATTCTTTGGTTTTGGCCACGCGTATTAAGTTACCTCATCATCAGACTCATAGAGAAACTCACGCTTTTACCGCGCATAAAATCCGTCGAAACTGTATTTCAGGCTCTTGTTGATATCCGATCATTGACCCAAAACAACGAGACGTGGCTAATCGTTGTCTTGCGCAATCAACGGGACATTCAATCAACACATTCAGTCAGCCTCCGCACCCTCCGCACCGCACTTCTTCTCGCAGTAATGCGTCATCTCGTCACCGCCAATATGAACAGCTGCCGAGTGGCATCCCAGCTGTGTCTGTTGGAGCCAAAATGAGTCAGTACCAAGTTCGAGGACGGAAAAGGATCAGCAAGTTGCGCGCACCTCGTCGTAGACACAATCGGGGCACGTGTCCCACCAGTTGCTGCCGGTGTTGCGGTTCTTGTACATTGTGCAGGCGCATTGAGTCGCGGTGTTGTCGACCTCGTAGTCCTTGGACCAACTGTAGCTGGGGCTGAACGGGGTTCCGCCAATGGGCGCCTCTTTTCTGTCCCGGACGCAGAATGCCCACTCGTGCATATCGCCGAATACACTGTTATTGAGCAGATCAGCTTTTCTGTTCTGTAGCTCATGTCGAAGAGACGAAAAGTTTTGACGTACCTGGTAGCAAGGGACAGCAGTAGAAGAGCTGCTATGGGAAAATGCATCTTGATTCTTCAACTCGGAGGGGGTTTTCTGTGAAGAGCTTGAGAGTAGTGAACTCAAGAACCCAAGTGGAAGGAAGTATCACATCAGCATGTGAGGCTGCAGACCAACTGCTGTACTCGGCCTGAATTCAACGAGACAGGCAATTTTATATCGGGTGCTTGTGAGACCCGAAGTCCGGGTGGGACTTCATAACCATGTAGTTCAACACCGCACTCCGCTGGCCGATGAGAAGCCCGATATCCCACTCAAAGCATGCGAAAACCACGTGCCTGGAGATCATCAACTTCTTCTGTCTTCGGAGGCCGCACACGGCGATTATTACCGTGTGTGCCCAAAAAGATTGGAGAGGCTGAACATCGACGAAGCCACAAAACATCCATCACGACTCAACATCCTCCCCGATGTGCTTCAATTTGATTGTGCGCTTCCTGCGAATAGGTTCCACGCAACGAGGTCCTGTTGGTGTCGTCAGAACACACGTGGGAGGCTCAACCGCCTGGAGTGGTTGCACCAGGCCCACATCCCGCGCATCCTGCCCAGAAAGAGAACATCGCGAACCCGCCCAGAAGGGATGATCCTAATCCGGGCTTGTCAATATTTCTGAGTCGTTTATTCTGAAGAAACCTGCTTTGTTAAGCTTATCGGGCACGTTTGCATCCCGCCGGGCGATGGTTCCCGTCAAAATGGCGTGTGTCATTTAGAAACACGGTCTGCACGTGGAATCGTGATGATCACGACAACTGAGTCAGGTCGTGTGATCACCATGGCTTCATGCCGCACAGCCATGGTGTTTGCGGGAGCAACGGTTCGAAACATCCAGTTTTATTTGTCGGGTCTCTGGGGATTTTGACTCGCGAGATGCGTTGGGATGGTTCCACTGGCGGTGTTGTGCAATATCATCGGCTACCTTTTGGGCTTCAACGAGGAAAATCCGAAAAATGGCGGAGGGCGATACGAGTGGTCGGAGGTGAAGGGTGTTCAGATGGATGTATAAAGAGCGCCAAGTCTTATTTGAAATCAACGTTGTTTCTTGCTCGACATCGACTTCGATCCTCACAATCCAACCACCACACTCTTTCGACCGCACTCACTTACACGGTCTTCGCCAAGATGCGCTCTTCAACCTTCACCAGTCTCTTCCTCATCTCGGCTGCCAGCGCGGCGCCCTTTTTCAACGAGCGCAGCCTCAACAGCACGAAATGGCACCCTGGCTGTGTTCTCCAACCCCATGAGGTTATCCTCTACGGCGAGGATCGCAGTAAGTGCCTTGTTTCCTCAACCACATCCATCTTCGTCTGTGATACTAACACCCTCCAGTGGAAATCGTCCACCGCGACACCTACGACCACATGCTCAAGACCATGGGTGTGCTCCCCCGCGCCCCGCCCCTTGACGATGCCGACTTCCACAACCTCCCCATCAACAACACCCTGCTGCCCCCTGTGAACATCATCAACCCAAAGCTAGACGCGCGAGGCACCTCCTGCGACGCCACCGACTCCATCGTCGCGGACAAGACCTTCGACTTCATCGACTGGGACGTGCAGATGTCCCCCGTCGTCACGGCGGACCTCACCTCCATGGACATCAACGTCATGAAGGGGTACACCGTGACCAACAGCGTGGGCGTCAGCGCCGGGCTCGACGTCACGTGGATCAAGGACAAGCTCAAGAACACGGTGGGCATCAACTATAGCCGCTCGTGGGCGACGCAGACGACGGTCAACATCAAGGGCACCGTCAGCCCCGGGTACAGCGGCTGCATGATCACGCGGCCGTTCAAGACGCGCCGCACGGGCAGGGCGTTTACGGGGTGCCCCGGCTCGCTGAAGGAGACGGGGACGTGGCAGGCGGACTCGTACAAGGAGGGGTCGTATGATGGCATCTCGTGGGTGTCTGGTACGATTACGATTTGCCAGAAGAAGGGGTCTATTCCGCTGTCTCGTTGCGAGGGAGATGGTAACTTTATCTGAGCTTTGATTGAACTTACCTTTATCATGGAAAAGTATGGGCAGACGACATGAGTAGTCAGTCAGTCTTGCGGTAGAACATGCGAAATCTCTGCTTGGGCCTCGTTGTTATATGTCATAGTCACTGTTGTAATGCCGAATATTGATATTTGTAAATTCTCGTCATGCAGTCAACATCAACAGAGCAATTTTGGCACTCAACGTGGCTGAGTGCTTTGCCAATGTGTAGACCAGCATTTCCGGTCTGCACAATCCTACACGTCAACATTATGCTGTGCTAGGAATGTCTCCGCAGCCCTAATGTGAGCACTGGTAACCAGTATGAGAGCCGCATGAAACCGTTCCTTGATATCTAGTCTGCGAAGCCTTTTCCCTGGCATGCAGCTGGAAAGAACAAATAATCGCATTGATATGTAGTTGGAGTGCGGTATAAGCCAAGGTCTTGGCAGCGGAGTCATGATCATATCCATCCAGCCTCCCGAAATCGGCTATGCGGCTCATGAGCAATATGAAGAGGGTCATCTGTACCTTGAGAGGTGCGAAATTCCCGAGCCATGGAGCACGATCCGAATGAAACCTTGCGGCGGAACGTTCCATGAAGCAATCAACGAATTAAAAGTCACATTTAGCAATGCTGCTGACACTTGCCGTCGTAGTTGAGGCAATTCACAAAATCCACGATGCCGTGGGTTACCTGCTCATCCCGCCGGAGTCCGCTGGGGCGCGTCGGAAACCACAGGAAACCAAAGGAGGAAAACAGGCCATATCCCAGAGGACCAAGAGAGAAAATTCTCCGCATCCCCGCTTGCCCCGAGTCAGATCATTTTTTATTTTTTTTTTATTTTTCATTGCTTATTCAATCTCGAATAAGATCTCTCACCTTCCCCAATGGCTGAGATGGGAAAGAAATGCGGGAGGGAAAATCTGGTTCGACCATCCGGCCAGGCCTCCGTGACCCAGGGCCGGAGCACGCCGACAGCGACACGTGATTGGCTGCAGCGGGGGACCCGCCCCGGAGCGCAGGTACCATCTTCAACGGGCGCGCGATCGGGGGGGCTTAGGGGCCCCCTGGTCAGCTGCCTGTTCCAGTCAGGCGCCCGAACACATCCCCCACCACCACTGGAACCACCACCACCACCAACCAGTCCATGCACATCTGATTTGCATCCATGGATCGGGGAGCTGCTCACATGTGCCTGCCGCGCGACTAACGACTGAAGACAAAATGCGCCGTCTGTCCCTCCTCTTTTTTGCTGAATAGTCTCGAAGGCTTCTGTCTTGCGTCTTTCGTCAACCCGTCTCGCCGTCGGTCGCCCCCAAAACACCCCTCGAATCGCGACTCCAAAACACCAAAACCCAAACATCACCAACCCCCGCCACCACCACCAACACACCCCGCGATACGGCTCGCTGCCTTCCCTCCCTCCACGATGCCCGCCACGCAAGACCTCCCGATGGACCTCCCCATCGTCGACCTCGACGTCTTCCTCACCCAGCCCCGCGACTCCCCCGCCGTCGCCGCCGAGTGCGCAAAGGCCGCCAACGCCCTCATCACCTACGGCGCCCTCGTCCTGCACGACTCCCGCGTCTCCGAGTCCGACAACACCACCTTCCTCGACCTGCTCGAGGACTACTTCGCCCAGCCCGAGGCCGCTCTCCGCAAAGACGAGCGCCCCGAGCTCTCCTACCAGATCGGCGTCACCCTCGAGAACACCGAGAAGCCAAAGTGCGCCGTCGACGAGCCCTGCCTGCAGGTCATCCAGCGCCTCGCCCCCTCGGAGCGGCCCCTCGACATCGGCGCCCACGAGCCCGACCCGAAGTGCCGCTTCTTCTGGAGCATGGCCGAGAAGCCCCCCTACGAGACGCGCTTCCCGGGCCTCAACGCGCCGAATGTCGTCCCGGACGCCCCGCACATCCGCGACCGCTGGCCCGGGGCGATGAACAAGTGGGGCTCCTCGATGAAGGCCGCCGTCACGGGGCTCGCTGAGATGGCCGCCGTCGGGCTTGGGCTGCCTGCGGACACCTTCAGCGCGGCTGGCAAGTACGGCCCGCACCTGCTGGCGCCGACGGCGTCGGACCTGGTCAAGTACGGCAAGCAGGACACCATCCTCGCGGGCTTCCACACGGACCTGAACTTCCTGACGATCCACGGCCGCTCGCGGTATCCTGGGCTGCACATCTGGGCGCGCAACACGGGCAAGAAGATTGCCGTGAAGATCCCTGAGGGGAACTACTTGTTGGTGCAGGCGGGGAAGCAGATGGAGCACTTCACGGGCGGGCTGATCAAGGCGGGGTACCATGAGGTTGTGGTGAACGAGAAGACGCTGGCTGTTATTGAGCGCAGGAAAAAGGAGTTTCCCGACAGACCGCTGGTGCGTATTTCGTCGACGTGCTTCTGGCACTTGTCGTCGGACGTGGAGTTGTCGCCGATTCCCCAGCTCGCGGAGCAGGCGAAGCAGGTGAGGGCGCAGCAGTTCAACCTGGGAAGAGACGAGGGCGAGGAGGTGAGGTACGAGCAGATGAAGGTTGGAGAGCAAGTACAGCAGTAAGTCGATCCCTTCAGACACCCACAAAGACCAGTAAACTAACCACTTCGACAGAGAACTGAAGCATATTGCCCTGATGGCATCAAGTTGATAGACTTAGAATTAATTACGCTATACCCAAATAATAATTTCATGACCCATCAGACATAGCCTCTCCCCCGTTTTGCTTGATTCAAGCCTTGTAGAACGCCTCTCCCTCCGCGACGTCCACCCCCTCCCTCGCAACCCTCTCCACCGCCGCCTTCGGCTCCTCGCTCCCATCAAGATGATCAACCCAGCTCGTCTTAAAGTCCTCCTGCTCCGCAATCAGCGCCGCCACCTCCGCCACGCCCTCCCTGCTCGACGTGCCCCTCGACCCCTTGGTCCTTCCAAACTCGACCTTGCCCGCCGGCTCCTCCGTCAGCGTGCCGGGCCGCAAGCTAACACCCGCGAAATCGCTGCGCTTCTTCGATTCTTCCCAGAGGACCTCGTCGGCCGCGACCTTGGCCTGGAAGTAGTTGGCCAGCTTCTGGTTCACCGCCTGCGCGCCCGCCCACTCGTCGTCAGACCACCACGTCGGCTTCGTCTTGCGCGAGGCGAGGTACGAGACGAGGATGAACTTCTTGATGGAGGGGGTGGCCACGGAGGCTTTGACGAAGTGGATCGCGGCGTCGCGGTCGACGGCGAATGTGCGCTCTGCGCCGCCTCGTCCACCGGCACCTACAAATAACGTCAGTTATGTTACTCATGACTCGTGAGAAGGGGGGCAGATCTACGTACCGGCACTCCAGATGACGGTGTCGGGCTTGACCTCGTCGAGGATGGCCTGCGCCTGCCCCTCGCTCTTGACGTCCTCGATGCTGCGCACCAGCACGTTCAGCTTGCCGGTCTGGCCCGCGCCGAGCTTCTCGATGGCAGGGACCTGCTCCTGCGCGCGGATGACGCTCGTCACGGTCCAGGACTTTTTGAGGAGGATCGGGGTGAGGTACTGGGAGACCTTGCCGTGGCCGCCGAGGATGAGGACGTGTCTGCTCATGGTTGCTGTCGTTGTTGTTGGTTTGGTGATGGCTTAGAGAAATTCAATTGGGTGTACAATGAGGCAGTCCAATGTTTGTTGGGGGTCTTGTTAAGCTTTCAATCTTGATCTAAACGGCGCGGAGGCACGAGTTCATATAAGTACTAATGACAAGCACGTCAATCATGCCACGGCTTTGAAATCAACCTGTACAGCCATGTTTCTCCTCCCCCGCTCCATCCAAGACAAACAAACGAAAACCGGCCCCGCCGGGGGTTGGTCAACGGCAGCGGGTCATCCACGCATCGAATGGCAGTTCTCCTCCTGAGGGCGGGCAGGCCGAGTGTGGAGAGAGTCTTCTGTTCTGGGCAAAAGATTGTGCCATGCGCTGGGCTAATTCCGTGAGCGGAACACGCGGGGCTCGTGTGTTCCGCGGTGTCTTCTGTAGACTGGAAAGAATAAGAGAAGTGTTGGTCACGTCACCGCCGCGTCAGTGACGTAAATCCCGCGAAGTTTATTCGAAGCTCCGGTAAATTAACTCCACACTTCTTTTCTTCCAGCTGTTCGTCGGCGATAAGGAGCTGATCAATTGAGTTTTTCGGCGATGGGACACATTGTTTGGGCCTCTTTACTCAGCAGCACGTTTGTCATTCTCTCAACGTCGGAGCAACTGCTTCTCTTCACGTTGCATGAGATCGCCGTAAGGCGTGATTAATACTATTGATTCATCCATCCAGCAAGTCAAACTCCCCAGGAAACCCCAGCGCGGTATAATCAAAACTGTCCGCGTCGAGGGGCACGTTCGCCTGGAAAAAGTGCGGCGTGATGGGCTGGAATATGTCACCCGTAATACTCGTCCGCCACGACGGCGAGTCCTCCTCGGCAAGGTGAGCCGTTGCCTCAGCAAGAACATCAATCTCGCTCAGCGACTTCTGCTGCTGCGCATCATCCGGCGGCGGACGCGGGAACTCCTCCTGCGCCATCTCCCGGATCATGCGCAGCGTGTTGCGGTGCACGACAATCACCTCCAGCTGCGGCATCGCCGCCATCAGCGCATCCGCGGCCTCCCGCCTCATCTTCCGCGGGGCAGCAGCCGCATCCGTCTTTGGCTCAAACAGCGGGACCTCCCTCGCGAGCGTGTCGAATGCATCCCTCAAGCACTTGGACTGCGGCCACCGCTCGGCGAGTATGGACAGCACGATGCTGCACGCCCGCACCGCCTCCGACGCATCAGGCAGCTCGTACGCCGCGGTCCGCAGGTGCGGCGGCGTCGCGAAGAAGCAGTACAGCAGCGCGACGCCGCACTTGAACTGCGCGACCAGCCCAAGCCACAGCTCCGTGATGGGCGTCTCGCGCTGGAACCGCCGGAAGATGAGGCACGCCTGCACGCACGATTTGACTGTCCAGTCGCCCGCGGGGCCGGCGGCCGTTGCTTTTGTGGGCTGGTACAGCATCGCCAGACTATAATTGTAGATCATGTGCAGCCACTCCGAGCTGGTGAAGTTGCGCAGCGGCGAAGAGGTGTCGGCATAGCGGTGGCACAGCGCGCGCCAGCGGTCGAGCTTCTCGAGCACGCGCAGGCGCCAGTGGGAGGCGCGGTCGAATTGTGTGTCGAAGTCGCGGTGCAGCGTCGTGTTGAGGATTTCGGACTGGATCTGGCGGCAGTAGACGACGTGCAGCGCGGCGGAGACGCCGGTCAGCCGCCGGCCGGTGTCCGGGTCCGCGGGGAAGGACGCGGCGCAGCGCGCGGCGAGGTCGGCGTCGTCGACGTTGGCGTACATCTTGACAGTGATCTGGTAGTCCGGGACCGAGAACGGGAGGTCGAACATGGTGCCGACGGCGCGGTCGAGGGTGTAGGCGGACCAGAAGACCCGGCGGCGCATCTGGGTGTCGATTTTGGTCTGCACGGAGAGCGGCGGCGGCTCGGCGTCGGCGCGGTGCAGCTGGGCCATGACGCAGTAGCGCATCGTCGCCGAGGCGATGGAGATGATGCGCTCCGTGGACGGGGAGTAGATTGCGTGCATGGCGAGGAGGAGGTACGCCTGGATGTGCAGGAGGCGGTCCGGCTGCGCGAAGACGTGGGAGAGGTACTTTGTGACGGCTGTGCGGTAGAAGGACTGGTGGCTGTGATGGCGGATTGGTTCGCTGGCGGGCGACTTGTCGAGGAGCAGGCCGATGGAGATGATCATGTTCACAAAGTAGGACGCCCAGACGCCGCTGGGGCGCTTGACGGGATCGCGGAAGTCATCGAGGCGGAGGAAGGGGTAGCAGCAGTGGACTTTGTCGTGATAGACGTTGAAGAGGGCTTCTTCCGTCGGCCTGTCTACCGTCCCCTCTACTCCATGCTGGCTGACGGGCCGGCGAGTAGTAGCTGTGCCAGAGCCATCTTGAAAGGTGAGTGGTGGGAGGTTGCTGTCCTCGTCTGAACGGGCAAAGGTCGCGAGCAAGCCGATTGCCGGTGAGCTTCTAGTGAGAGACGTCTCTGCGCTGCGAGAAGCGAAGGAGACTCGACGTCGATGATGATGATTCTCCTCGTGCGACGACGACGTCTGCTCAGCTCGAGCGCTGTCTAGTGCGAGCCCTTTGCGATCAACAACGTCCTGGAGCCGTGCGTTGCTCTCCTCGAGACGCGATATGCGCTCCTCCAACGAGGCGATGTCACCCAGCCAGGCCAGGGGCGTGTGTGTCGAGGATAGATGGTCCGAACTGCTGGGGCGTCACACACGACTAACAATCAGATCGACGGTTGATCTCCACGGTTTTCAATTGGTTCCCTCCTTCTTTACTCAAGACAAAATGAAACTTTTGCGTCGTCTGGGGTAAGGTAGATGGGGTAAGAGAGAAACGGAACATGAACATTGAACGTACGGACGGGGATGGTAATGGAAGGACGGCACCGCCTCGCTGCACTGCTCGCCGGACCTGGCGCAGTTGGCACACGGCCTCTGATCGTCACATTTTTGCTACGCGATCATCGTCGAAGTTAGTTCGTCGTTACCATGGTACTGCGGTGTTTCAGAGGAGAGAGACCAGCGGTTCGGAGCCGACGATCACTACCAAGAAACTGGTTCTTGACTGACCTTTCGACGACGGCAGCGGGAGCAAGCCTGCGTCTTCGCCCGCTTGGCCGGCGGCTGATCGGGGTGTTCGCTGGCGGCGGTGGTGGTGGGGTCGTACGGCAACCCGCTCCCCGGTGTCGCCATCGCACCTCACTCATTCACTGGCTGTGAAAAGCTCTCTGGTTTGTCCCGTGTTTGGCAGCCCACTTGGTTCCGTTTCGCGTCCAGGGGGTCCGGTGGTTGTGTGTGGCGATTCGTACCATACACCTCAAGGGGCCAGCTACATCGTCATTCTCTTCTCAGTGAGCGGTAGCGAGTCGCGTATCGGTGTACCGTGAGCTGTGTTCTTCTGGATGAGGGGAAAGGGAAATGGAAAGGGGACTGATTGCGATGCGACTGCCGAGATGTGTCGATGCGACTGATAAGGTACTCGGCGTTCCGCAGCGTCAGGTTCGGGTGATAACAGCCGGACCCCTGCATGATGTGGATCCCCCGCGCCGTTGAAGAAGCGCCGATGATTTGCTTGAAGATTGCCGTTGGTGATACTGCGTAGCGCCTCTTGATTCACAATGTGGACGTAAGGATGGTCAGGTGACGGTTCCTTGGGGGCACATGGACGGGAAGCGGAGTAGTACCCATTTGGTTTGAGCCGAATTTGCATGGCAGAAATGACCTGGTAAGTGTAGACTTGGGGTTCAACAGCAGCCACGACGGTGGAGACTGTGATGTCACTGGATCGAGATGCCTTGAACAACACTCTTCCAACTTCCCAGAAGCTGTTAATGGAATCGAACAAAACTTTGAATGAGATCGTCGTCAAGTGGCGACTATGGTCTTGGTATCATTCAATGGATCTTACAATTTCAAGTTTCTCCCGTCTCAACACGCCGAGGTAGATGTGAATCGCCCACGGCGGTTCTAGAAAAGTACGCGAAGTTGAACAATCGACGGTTGCTCAGATGCATCCTGCCTAATTTGTGTAATTAATCGTAGCACTGACGACGGACATTTCGCCAAACTACCTGACCTGGTAAGTGTCGAACCTGCCAATCTGATCTACTTCAACATCCGGGACTAGTCAAACAGAGGTCAGTGTACTCGACCACCGAAAGGTCAGGTCCGTGGCCCAGATAAGGCGGTAAACGGTCTCGTATCTTGAGAGCGAACACGACGTGCATTTGGAAGACGTCGTACATCGTTTTCGATCCAGGACGTTGGCCAACTCAAGCGCCACAAACGCTTCCGGTAGGCTGGTAATAAAAAGTGTTGCGGCTCAGCACACTTACATGGGAACAGTACGCGATGTGCCTCACACACAGCCACGGAGACGTCGACAACAGATGACCCGGTTAGGACTTCCTACCGGAGTATCCGAGGCTGCGACACTCCGTGGTAGTAAATGCTACCGTCCTGCCCTGCGATCCCACCGAAAAGCCTCACCAGACGATACACTGGAGCCTTTCGGATTAGGTAGAGAGCAGCAGTTCAAGGTTAAAGCCGCCTTACGGATAAGGCGAACAGTTGACGGAAATGGGCAGCTGATCACCAGTTCCCACCAGAGATCCTCAATCCTCAAACACCATCCCGGCCAGGCGGTGTGGTGTGCGCCGTTGCTGGGCTAAAAATACGCACCATGATGTGCGGATTTGGGACACGCGAGCTTGCCGTCTTTCCCGTCGTGGACCAGAGTTGAGGGTGCCTGCCCTCTTCGATAACTGAAAGATCGTGGCTCTTATTAGCAGCATTGAGATTAAAGCCGTGTTTATGATATCACGACAACCGCCCAATCACCACCGCAGCCGCGCGATCATCCATCGGTGTTTCTATCCCCTTTGGTCCATCTCTGACAGTGGCATCTTGTTTTTCAGCCCGGCGGCGGACTTCGGACGAGCGTCGACGTGACGTGGCCCCCACCACAACAGGCGATTGTAGGGTAGATGTATAGATGGACACGGGGGGAAACAGCCAGACCGCTTGCTGGGCAGAACGATCGTGGATGACGAGAAGGAAGAGCCATGCAAGTTCGGTTTCCCGGGTCGCCCACTCCCCGGACCAAGGCAGGCCTTGTTGGCGTTGCCTGTATGATCTCGGTGGGCCGTCGCCGCGCTTAATCCCCGCGGAGGAGGTTTGCAAGTGTTTTGATAGCGTCGACTGCCGAGGGCTCGCCTCCTTCAACGGTCATGCCTTAAGGCTGCAGGATCGGTGGGTAAAATTTGGGGGAGGAGAGCATCCGTACCGAGGAAACCGAGGGAGATGAGTGCAAGGAGGCGCGTTGCACGGTTCGCTGTCGTAGGGCAGAGCAGATGGAAGGGAAATGCAGGCCAGGCCTGAACATGGCATGGAAAGTGGCTCTACGGATTCGCTGGCATTATTGGCAATGGTCTCCAGTCGCATGTTTTTCGTTACCCTTTCTGCCCCCTTCGCCGGGTGCCGAGATGGAGATCTCACCAACATGAGGCTCCCCTGATTGTCTTGCTTGGCGGCAGGTCGGTCTCAGAAAGGACAGCGGGCAGTCAGCCAGGGTGCCAGGGATGCAGGAAGAGGGTTCGATCGGCGGGGGGTCGGAGGGATTACGACGCGGGGATCATGCAGTTTCCGAGAAGAGGTTGGGGCGGTTTGACAGGTGACTCCGCGACGGGGATGTTCCGACGTCAGGGTAGGCTGGGCTGGATAGGTAGGAGGCTCAAAAGAGAAGACGTAAGGTGGCAGCAATAATGGGCCATCGGCGATAGTCTCGTTAGGCGTTTTCGACTAGTAGGGCTTTAAGTGCGATTTGTCTCACGTCAATTAACCCACCACCTAACATCTTTATGTGGAGGGCACTATTGTAATGTGTAATGTGTTTGTGAGTTTTACGTCAACGCCCGTCTCTTCCTCTAACTCTGACTAGATTGACAGAATGATCGCACGGTCTTTGGAGCCGTGCCTTGTCTCTTCCCGCCTGGGCACGATGGATAGACACTTGGGCTACAGCCCAGCCAGGAGGATTTTGGGCTTGATACCCGATCGTACCTTATTTGACTGGTTCGGGTTTGATAGACGGCTCGCCCAGAGAGTTGCCGAGGTGTCCCCCCGTGCCCCCAGACGGAGAAGAACCTCTTGAGAAGCACAACAGTGAGGGTCTTGAGGGATAGACATGGCTCGCTGGCCACCAGAACCCCGGAAGGGCAGTCAAAAGGTGGGACGAAAGGAGGAATCTTGGGTTTCATTGGCCTGAAGAACATCGACTCAAACATTCCATGTCTGAAACCGTGCTGGCAGCACCCTTGCGGGGAAACACTACCGAGCAACCACCGCGCTTGAGCCTCCAACTGGCGTGCAGGGATCAATGCCATTGTGAGACGGAGCCGACCCCTGTAGATCCCTGCTTTTTCCCTTGGGTGCCCCTCTGTGTCCCTCCCTCCTTGTCCCGACACTGCGTCACGTCAGCCAGAGGTTGTAAGGTTTCTCGGATGATGGACGCACGCAGTTACCGCTGTAGGGAACTGTGCCAGAATTGTGTGTGCGTTTTTGTGAAGGGACTTGTTAACAAGGGGGAGCGGGTAAAAAAGATACACACATGAAAAAAAGAGGGGACACACGCAAAACCCAAGACATGGAGGGAGGGGACCGTGGGATTGTTTAAAGGGCGGATGGCGCGCGGCGGCCGGGTCGGTTTTAAGGCCCTTCCTCTCGACTCTTTATTTCTGGGACGGGAAGCGCAACTTTTTAGTTTGGGACTGACATTGTATGAGATTTATTGATTGTTTAATTTGTGTTGTTTGAATACGTTTTTACGTTGACAGCTCTGTGGCTTGGCGACGATTGTTGAGCCGCTGGATCGACTTACATCGCACACGACCATTCCATATTACCTTCTCACGCCCTATTACTTCAATCACAACAACACTATTACCACCGGCCGGTCTGTCCTCCTCCGCCTGCGCGACACAGACCTGTCGACCAACTCTGATCCATCTGAACTGGCCACGAAGCCATACAGAGAGAGGGAAGCGTCTTTCTAATCGGCTCCCGACATTTACTCGAAGGGACTGGGTTCGACAACAACGACTACTACTACATGAGATAATCCTACGACGAAACGGCAGACGACATACCCAAGGGGCAACCTACAACAGTACCACATATACCAGTTCTACGACAGAGTAATCACTACACATCATGGCCGGCCTTCTTCCCAAGCTCGGAGGCGCCCTCGGCGTCTCGACAGACGTGCCCGTTCTGGGGCCTATTCTAGGAGACGGGGGATCAGGACAGACGGGCGCTCCCAACTCGTCAGTGAGCCAGGCGACGAAGGCTCAGACATCGGCACCAGAGTCATCGGCGCCGCCAGCCACAAGACCACCACCACCTCCACCACCACCGCCTCCTGCTTCAGCGCCGCCTGCAACGACATCATCAGCACCACCAAAGAGCACGCCGTCGCCCCCATCAAGGACACCGACGCCCTCATCATCCACATCACAAACGCCCACAGTGCGCCCTCCCACCACCTTCATCATCTCAACAACAACCATCCCGTCCTCATCCACAACGCCATCGCTCTCAGTTGTACCACCGCTCCCATCACCAACATCCATTCCCCCCTCACTCGCGCCTTCAGAGCCGCCCGTGGTACCCATCTCCACGCCGGAGGTTCTCACGCCCTCGCCGGTACCCTCCTTCATCCCGCCCCCGCCAGCAGAGACCACACCGTTGCTGACGCCCACGCCAACGCCGACGCCGGCGCCCAGCACTATCGCGGCGCCGAGCCAGGCGCAGCAGTCCGGCGGCAACGGCGGCGCGAAGCTGATGCCCGCGCTGCCCATCGCGCTCGGCTCCGTGGGCGGCGTGCTCATCTTCGGGCTCATCATCGGCATGCTGTACCGCAAGAGCAAGTGGCCGTTCCACAAGCGGAGGAACTTTGCCGAGATTGACGACCTGGAGATTGAGCGGCAGCAGGAGATTGAGAGGCAGCAGAAGATGAAGTGGGATCCGAGGGTGACGAGGACGTTTAAGCAGCAGCAGGCTGCGGCGGCCGGTGTGAACTTTTAAGAGGTTCTAGAGGCGCCGGTGGTATTCAAGAAATTAAATAAAAATATGAAATATCACACCTATCAATAACGCTCGAGTTTACAAGTGATGTTCCAAGATCCTCATGTCATATACCACACTATGATCTTCATGGCGTTATTGGCGATTTTCATGATAACACATCGCGGCCTTTTGCCTACCACAACAGCTCGTAGGTATCTCAGGCCTCATCCATAAACGCTATCTAGCTCTTGTGTGCTCCCAACGACGGGTAGTCTAATTGAGTTGAGGAGAATGTTCGCCGCGGCTCCTGCCACCGCTGCACCGGTTCCTCGAGAGCACGCGCTGGTGGCTCCGCCTGTGCCCGGCCTGCGATGGAGCAACTCGGTTGTGCGACTCCCGACTAACGTATTCGTAAGGAGTACATTACATGAATTCAAATAACTCTATTCTAGATGCCGGGACACATTGGAAAGTGAAGTGCGGCTCATTTCGGCAAACATTCCCTCCCAACTAACACAGTCAAACTCATCACCGGCAAAATCGAAAGTTGTCGCTGCGACGTGCGGCATGTGAGTCGGACACAGGGAACCATCATCACAAGAGTTCGGAGGCCTCGCACTGAGGCTGAAGTGTGCGCGTCCGCGTCTCATTGGCCCGGCGCTCCCGCCGCCGCCAATGGAGAGGATAGTTCGTAACGGGCTTGCTTCACACTCTCTCCGACACAAGATGAGAATAAAAGCAAAAAGGCTGTCGCGTCTGGCGGGAACGGCGAACATGTCCGTTCTGAGGAAGGGAACCGGGAACTGTAATTCTATTGCCTCGCTCCAGAACTTCGGACCGTTCGACTTCAACAGAGTTAGCGAGGAGGGCCATGAAACTGGGACAGCGGCATCTTGATCGACGAACAGGGAGATGCCTTGAGGGGGGAATATAAGGTTTTGGGGGAGCAGACACACGCGGCGAGCCGCAACCAGGGTTTCCAGGTCGAGAAGAATCGGCTTGCTAGTCATGGAACGCCGCAAGCGCGAGTTTCACGCCGTCAAGAAGTTGAGAGCGGCCTTTTACTTTACCACCTATCACATCTCTTCGTTCGCTGCGACCCGACAACTGAGATGAACGTGTGTCGTCTGAAAGTTTACGCAGAGTAAGGCGGAAGTCAAAAGAGTCAGTCGCTGCACACATTGCCACCTGACTCATCGGAAGGAATCGTAAGCTCAGTCACTTTGATGCGTTTAGTAGGTAACGTATTGATGAGACAGAAAACAGTAATCAAGCGCCGGCTAATTATCTTCTAATGCTCGAGAAACTCCTTGACCTCGTAATTCCTCTTTGCGTAGCCGAACCAGAGGCCCAAGATGATGATTCCGAGAGCAACCAGAACAGGGGAGGCGTAGTTCATTTCGTCTGCTAGGGCGGGGAGGTAATACGGGAAACAGTAAAAGATGAGTGCGACTACCGACCATGCGAGCATGACGACGTTCGCCAGGAGGCCGAGCTTAGGGTACCAGAACGGACCATGCTTGAAGCTGGAGCGGCCTTGCATCAGAGCAAGAACCACGGGAATGCTGTAACTGATGTATTGGAGCAGAAGGCCGGTGGAAATGAGCGAGTTGAAGGCTAGGTCTGAAGCGAGATATAGACAGCCAAAGATGGCCGTGCCAGAGGCAGAGAATATCAAGGACCAGAGAGGAGTGTGCAGCGGAGACGGCACAATCTTGCTGAGGTGACGATGCAGCGGGAAACCGGCCTCGCGGCTGATTGTCCAAGCAAGACGGGACTGCCATGTCTGGATGGACCACATAGCGCCAATGGTGGTGATCATGACAGGTACCCAGAGTCCGACCGCGGCGGCCTGGCTGCCCGTGATTCGATAAAAGAGAGCGAGCGCCGAGTTATCGTCGGCTCCGTCGAGGTAAGACACGTTGATGAGCACCGACATGACGACCAGCAGCCCCGAAACCAGGCCGACGACGATTGTCCACATCAGTGCCTTCGGGATGTCGGTGCTGGGGCGGGGCATCTCCTCGGCCAAATGGGTGGTGACGTCGAGGCAGGAAAAGCTCCAGTTCGCGCCGTTCATGCCGATGATGAACGCGATGCCGTTCTGCCACCCCGAGACGTTGATCTGCGTGACGAAGAAGTCCTTGGCGGAGGCGTGTTCTTTCGACATCGCGAACAGGGTGATGAAGATTACGACGATAGTGGTGCAGCTGAAGAGCAGCATGATCTTTGAGATTTTGGGGAGTGCTTGTTCGAAGCTCGCGCCAAAGAGCGTGACGATGTTGAGGAGCTGGAAGCCGAGGAAGCCCATCCACCTCTTGTACTCAAAGGTCGGGTCGAGGAGCGTGATGATGCCGCAAATGCCGACGGGGACGGAGAGGCAGGCGGAAGAGCCCGTGGCTACTGCGGCGAGCCAGCTGATGACTGCTGTGATGTATGACAGAAACCGCTTGTACTTGGGTGGTGCGAGGCGATGGACCCAGATGTACTGGCCACCGGGGTGAGGCATGGCGGAGGCGAGCTCGGCGAGCGTTGTTGCTGTTGCTAAGCCGACGAGGGCCATTACTAGGAAGCCCCAGAAGAACAATGGTGATCCTCCCATGGGAAGGGTGCTGCCGAGAACCAGCAAAAGGCCGATGGCAGTGTTTGTGGTGCCGTAGCCAATACCCAGGGCGGACAGAGTCGTGAATGGCTTCATTGTCTGCACGGTGACAGCCCCGTTGGCGATGGAGCCGCGCTCCACGGCTTCATGATCGGTCTTTTCGGGCATGACGGAGATTTTGTTGTGGGTTCCCGTTGAGGAAGTGCGTGCAAGTGAGGCTTGATTGTCCATTATTGCAAAATCACACGCCGGGACGAGGGATGATGCTAGGGAGAAGTAGTCGTGATCAACTTGGGACCATTAGTAGTGGTTAGTTGTGGGAATGTCTTGGAAGCTGAGGTGGGGTTTCGGGAGTTATATGCATGCAGCTAGATACTATCTACCGCAAGGTTGAGAGTCACGCAGCTACAGTCATGGGCCTGAAGTCTTCAGAGCGGGGTTATCTGTCAATCAACCAAGGGATTCGCAACGGACGTTGACATTATCTCGAGGTTAAGATAACGACGTCGTGGGGGAGACACCTAGAATGCGAACCGTAGACAACGAAGCCGAGGATAACATATCGGCCGCTATCAGTTCACATTCTCGCACATACCTTCCGCATGGGGAAAGGGAGAGCGGCGCCGCTACCGGCGCGGGCCCCACAGTCCGGATGGCCATCGGGCGGTCCCCCGCAGCGTTGGGAGGTTGGGCTCAAGAAGTAGCATTTCTGAACTCTCCCACGGCATCTTTTATCCGGCTGTATTAATGAGCTCCTACTGATGACCCCTTGACCTGGTGTTTTGTAGGCATACGAGTCAAAGTCACAATGGGCGGAAACGGCACCAATAACAGCGCTGATCGTCTGCAAGATGAGCTTGCTCCCTACCTAAGTATGCAATCAATCTTTCCCGAGAACACAGCTAACCGCTTATTGCAGACCCTGTTATGTCGAGGTTTCTCTTGAACGTATCCAAGGCCATCACGCAAGACCCAGGCTTGCCTAAGACAAACCCGACGGTTTCAGCATGGCAGGTTCCCGAGCACCCAATAGGGTCAATTCAGTCGCCCACCCTTCCCAAGCATACAGATTTTGCTGTGATCGGCTCTGGTATCACAGGATGCAGCGTCACCAAGACACTTCTTGGGCACCAGGCTGCCGGCAATTCTCATGTCACCGTCTTGGAAGCGAGGACCCTTGTCAGCGGCGCAACCGGTCGTAATGGAGGACACTTGGTAACAGCCTCTGGACACACTTTCGGCCCTCTGGTTAAGCAGCATGGTGTTGAGGCAGCAAAGCAAATCACTCGGTTCAGTATTCTCAATATCGAGCGGCTGATGGAGATGGTGAAAGAGATGGACCTAGAGCTACAGGAAGCCTGTCAGATTCGCGATGTGCTCAAGGTCATGGCCGTCGGAGACGGAGAGACCTGGAAGGCGGCTAGGCAGTCGGTTCTAGACTTCCAGCAGGCTGTAACCGAACATCAAAGTTATCACCGTATTGTTCAAAAGGACGATGTCCCTGAGGTAAAGTTCAATATTGAAACAAACATCAATAACCACAGTTTAGCTGACATCATGCAGAGATGGAACATAAAGGATGCTTCAGGGGCGGTTGAACACGATGCTGGCGCCATTTGGCCCTACAGACTGCTTACCGGTGTTTATGATCGCCTGCTCAAAAAGTACTCTGGGCGTCTTGCGATTGAGGCAAACACGCCGGTTTTGGGTGTCGAGTATTCTCCCACAAGCGACTCGAAACATCCTTATCTGATCACCACCCCACGAGGAACAATGCGAGCTAAGAAGGTGATCCACTGCACGAACGCGTATGCTTCACATCTTCTGCCAAAGCTGGCTGGTCGTGTATACCCATTTCGTGGGACGATGTCTGTGCAAAAGCCTGGCCCTGCTCTGAAGAACTTAGGAGCCTCCAGATCCTGGAGCTTATCACACAAAGCTTCCTTGGATGCGGAAAGCGGCTTCTACGACACCGGGCTGTACTATCTTCAACAAAACGCCTTGACGGGGAGGATCTGGATTGGGAATGAGACAGCATACATGAAGGATATTTTGACTTCTGATGATACTTACGTTCCTGCAGAGGCAAAGAAAGCCTTATCTACTGTTCTTCCCAGGTTCTTCCTCGATGGCTGGGGCTCGGAAACGACATCAGAGATAGAGGCCATCTGGTCCGGTGTTCAGGGGCACACAGCAGACGGCCTGCCAATTGTTGGCCGGATCCCTCAGCCCCTTCTAGAGACACCAGGTGACGATGAGCAGTGGATGGCTTGTGGATTCAATGGGTACGGCATGGACAAATGCTGGCTGACGGGCGAGGCTTTGGTCAAGATGATGTTCGGGGAGGACGTCAGTGACTGGTTCCCACAGGCTTACATGGTAACCGAAGAGCGGCTGCGGAAGGGTCTGACCAGCGACAAGACGTTGCTCAAGTTTGCCCAGATTGCAAAACCAAGTGGCGTTAAAAGTGAGAAGTTGTAGACCTTTTATTGCTATCATAGATATATCATCCCATCATTGTTCCCAAGTTCTTCTCATGAGCCACGTCCAGCCAGTAAACATCAGTACTTCCACTGTCCAACGCCGACCAGATCTGATCAATCAACTCAGATATCACTCGACTCTTCCTCAGAGGTAGTATGTGCGTGTAAGCAGCCAGTCGCGACAGCACAAACTTCCGAGCCCGGGCAACCTCGATGGAAGCCGGGTCAATTGCCAACACATCCAAGTCGCCCGCAGCCACAGATGCTGATTGCAAGTGCTGTGGATTTCTCCTTAACTCGCTTGAGCAAGCAACCATGATGAATGGCTGCGCGCTGCGCGTCCGAGATTCAAACGGTATCTCTCTCAAAATACCCAAGATGTGCATTGCGAGCTTGGTCAACCATGTCTGCCTCTCCTGCGCGGTTGGTGTCTTGTCGGATGGCAGTGGTCGAAGTAAATAGTCTTTGTCCCACGGAGCGTACCGTTCGTTGAGTAAGTCGGGGAACACACGATAGAGTTGCAGAAGTCCCGTGCATCTGTATGCCTCGTCTATGAGTTGCAAGTGCCTCAGCGGTGTTTTCGGGTCACCCGGGTCCTTGACTTGGGATAGGTCCGGTGAGCGGTGGGCTAACAGTACGCGCTCGAGTTTACGTGCCTCCCTAAGTGCGGTTCTAAACACATCAATGTCGTTTTCGGTCAGAAATTTGACTTTTGAGATTCGCTTTCGGTACTGAAAGACCAGGACGCCAATGTCGGCGAGTATTTTGACCGTGTCTCGGGAGATACCAGAATATGGATGTGGTTCTTCCGACTTGGACTTGGCGGACTCCGCCGGCCCAAACGGAGAGTTTCGATCGCAATTGCCCAGCTGATGGCTGTCTGTTAGATAGGCCAGCAGCATTGCCCAATAGTCCATAGTGTCGCTGAAAAACGAGATGGTAGCGTCTCTGCCCGTGTCAAGCATGACGTCTTGAAGGATATCGCAGCTTGTTCTGAACATGTCTGTGGCGAGGTTCTGCGGAGTGAGCCAACTGGATGTGTGGCCCAGTAATTGAGAGGCGAGTAGCATGGCTTGCTTGTGTGTCGGTAGAGAGTCCTGACGCAGGAGCTTCAATGCTTGTGCGTGCTCGCGGCGCGCAATAGGCAAAAGGTGCGGGAAGTCTTCCGACAGACAAGCTGCCGACATGCTTTGAATAGTGTGGTAGAGAGCACCGGAAGACTGCCACGAGGTTTCGATGATGTTGCGCATGACGTTCGACTTGCTGTCCCATGCGCAGTAGAGCGTGATGACCTCGCGGAAGAAGTATTCAGAGAGTGACGTTGGGATATTGAAAGGCTCCTTCGGGATTGGGGAGGATAACTGTCGATTTTGCTGTATGAGCGCTGTTGACATAGTCATATCGAGTATTTCTGTATTGCGATTTTCAAACAGGCTATGGCGTTGTTGGATATGGAACCCACTAGATCTAGTCTCCGAGGGAAAACTGCCTTCCGCGAACAACCCAATTCTGGGTGTTTCTTGATTGTTGGATGGTGATGACGAGTGATCGTTATCAGCATCCAGAGCGGATCCAAGAAAATTTGTATCGATTGACAAATCGACTTCAGACGCCGGCCGCTGGAATCCTAGCATAGCATCTGTGATGGTGGTCAAGCTTGACAGGTCCGGAGAGACAGGGTGATCCCAATGTGGAGTGAACCCAAACCATGAATTCAGCTGACGGTTGCCCTCAGCGCTTGAATAAGCATTATCGAGTGTTTCGGTATCTTGAGCGGCTTTTGGTGAGGCAGAAGAAGCTCGCGGTTTTGGTGAGCCTGCTGCTTCGCTCTTCTTGCTGGCAGAGTCTTCTGCTCGAACTTGGGGTCTGCGCGACCACCGCACATTGAGTGCATATCCAGGACATTGGAAGCCCCTCTCTTCACACCTAGCGCACCCGGGCTTCCTTTCATCACACTTTGTCTGCCAAGACAATGTAAGCGATAACACTCTCGGAGGCTGCACAATGAGTCTTACCTTCTTCGCTTTGCACCTAAGACATCCGTTTCTGGATTTCGAGTGCCTGACTTTGGATGAGGACTGCATTGCGTTGGGCCGCCGTAAGATTAACATGCACAGGGTAGCTGCCGATTGCTAACAACTTTGCAGTAGTGGGAGGAATAGGCTTGCAGCGGTTGATGCTCGCAAAGTGCATGAAGAGGCAATGAGCGGTCCGGCACCGGCATCGCGTGGGTGATAAGACCAGGAGAGATAAGCCATCGTCGCCCACTAGCAATGGCAGATATCGGTCTTTTTATCTAGATGCGGTCACATCATCCCTGCTTTTGCGTTGTTCCCCGCAGGTGATCAATGCTAGCGGGATCCGGGTCTGCGGGGTTGGTTAGGACCGGTGGGTAGGATGGCCGGGGTTAACTGACCCTGGTTTCTGATCCTGCTTTCTCATTCTCTCATGACTTCTGCCGGGTCCGAATCTGCATTTATTTCTTATCACAATGACATATGGTGCCGCCTATAGCCATTGGAGAACTTCCTGCTTACTATGCAACTCCAGAGTCAAGCACTGCCGGCGCGCCCACGAGAAACAGACGTTGCCAAGGGCTGGCCGCTTGCCTCTGAACATCTGAAAAGGCAACACTGTTCCAGTCGTATTAAAACACAGTGCAGAGCATAGTACCATCTTTGATGCTGTCTAATGCACACTGCCAGCCTTCTAATATTGGAACAGTCAACGACTCGACAGACGCCAATCGGGGGCGGAGTAGGGTGATTTGTGAATTCCTGCACTGCCTGTCATATTTCCTACAGCCACAAAATCCCAGAGACATTTCTTTTTTGCGCAGAAAATAGCTCTGCGGCCGATCCCCACTTGTCGTGGCACTATTGGCTCAGCCCCAAGTCTGTGTCTTACTGCACAGCCCGAGGCTGTTCGGGGATGGAAATGGTGACGGATACAAAGGTCCCTGATATCTCGAACCAAAAGTTTTGTCGTACTTCATGCCTATCTGTCGACTACAAGATCTCCGAGACGATGGCCAGCACTTTCAGAGCAATTGGGAGCAGCGAGGACGAGATCGAGCGTCTCAAGTTTACACTCGTATCTGAAGATTCCAAAGGCCACAGTTGCCAGTATTGCAATGTTTTCAACATCAAGTTCCGCAGGTTGATCGATGGCCGCGTGGAGGCAAGTTCCGATTACTACTTAGATACGACAGAACGGGAAGTCCGCAGAAAAGCAGAACTAGGTTGCAGCTTCTGGGCAATGATTTGCGATCGCCTTACCCAAATGACACTGACACAGAAGGCAAAGAACATCCTGGGAGAAATGCCTGACGATTTCTATTTCTCAACAGATTCTTTATGGGGGTGGAGGAACGATCGCTTCCTTGAGGCCCTCGAAGGCGAAGAGAAGAGAAAATTCCTACGACTTTGGCGAAAGTCGGGAGTAAACTGGCACTACGCCTTCGAGAGACCTTGCGACGGCCTCGATTTTGCATCATCTGCATCATCCCTTCGAAGTCAATCGCGAGAGAATGCGGTCTCATCAGACCTTTTGCGACTCAAGTTTTTCAGCAACGGCGATTACTTCCGCTTGTATCTCACATTTGGGCTTTTTGGAGACGCCTCGTTCTTAGTTCTGATTCCCCCGTGTAAGTTGTGTTGGACTCCAATCAATTTCACAGCTCGTATGGACGCTAACTTTGGTAAAGCTAAGAAACTCGGGATTAATGCCAAGCGCATGGACATTGCTTCACCCATGAACCTAGAGCCTAGCAGTCCCATGACAGTGGATCTGATCAAATGCTGGCTGCAAAAGTGTGAATTTCAACACCGATGTGGCCTTTTTGATCTGCCATCTTCGATGCCGTCCATGATTTTGCGGGTGGTAAGTAAGGACTCTGCAGTATTGGTCGAGGTGACGCCAGGAATGAGAAAGCGCTATCTCGCACTGTCCTACTGCTGGGGGCAAGGAACGCAACGACTCTTACTATTTCGAAGCAACAAACCCATTTTGACCTCTGTCACTGGTATCAAGATATCGCAGCTGGATGCAACAATCCGGGATGCTATGATCACAACATATGAGCTTGGCTTCGAGTATCTTTGGATCGATGCGCTCTGTATTGTTCAAGACGACGAGGACTTTAAAGCGAAAGAACTACGAAAGATGGGTGATATATACCGGAACGCCGCCTTCACCATAATCCCCTCCGCCGCGGGCGATGTTCGCGAAGGATTCCTCAAAAGACGACTTTCGACCCTAGAAAGGACTGTTCCAGCGGAAGGACGACCTCAAATTGTCTTCAAGATGAAAGCTCAATGGAAAGATGAGCGCTCGAATGAAACGACACCGTTTTCTGCCATTCTTAAAGCAAGCGAAATACAAGGCGACAAGGAGCCTTGGTACCACAGAGCTTGGACACTCCAAGAAGCCCTCTTTAGCAGACGCCGACTACAGTATCACGAGAAACAAACAACATGGCGTTGCTACTGCGCGGGAGAAAAGATCCTGGAACATGATGGCTGGTTTAGTCGAAGCAATGAAGGGAGTGGGACGTCCCTATCCGAAGTCTTGGGACACGTCACGCGCATGCTATGGAACCGCCAGAACCTGCCTCGCACCTCGGTGGTTTTTGGATACTGGTACTCTCTAGTGCGCACGTATAGCAGTCGATCGTTGACGTATTTCACGGATAGGCTTCCTGCTATATCCAGCACGGCAAGAGAGTTTGCCTCGATCTTACAAGATCACTATGTTTGCGGGCTCTGGGCATCTGACCTAGCATTAGGGCTAGCATGGACAACAGGCGTGAGAGATCTATCTTATGACAACAACTCGGTGAAAGGGCCCTCGTGGAGTTGGGCGTCGTACATCGGCGGCGTATATTGGAACCGAGGAGAGTGCAAAAGAAGCGTGGATTTTCAAGTTGTTCGGTTCTCTGAACTTCCAGCTGATCTATTTAGAGAGTCTGGGTCGATCGAGATTCACATCCGTGGCCTTCTCATGCCCTTCTCATACAACTTCTTCCTTCACAACGAGGAATATTCTGTCGAAATGGACGATGACGATTCAAAGAATCCAGAATTAACGGTACTTACCGACTATTATGTGGATTCCAGGTTTGGGGACAGCTCTGAGACCGAGATTTACTTGCTGCCACTTATCGTCACCCGCAATCTAAAGGTGCAAGGCCTTGCCTTGATAGAGGATGTCCAAAGGCCTGGCAAGTATTTCCGCGTGGGCTTATTCATAAGGAGAAGGATTTGGGCAGTGCCCGATAATTATCCTGAAGACCACGACATCGAAGAGGACTCCGAGTGGCCCGACGATGCGCCCGAGGATTATCAAGATCAACTGCGAAGTGCGTTTGGCGGAGGCAAGAACATTAAGGAGATTATACTGATATAGAGGCTTTTCTTGTTGATCATTCCCTAATAGTTGCTTTCCATATAATTGGACTACTAAGTTGTTTCGCACCTTTCCCAGTGCTGACGGCCTAACATGACTTATTCCCTCTCTACCTACCATCGCCGGGCTCCGCATGTGGCTCACGAATCATAGTAAACAGTCTTATAGAGTCACCATCGTCGTCGCAAATCATTTCCTTCTGGAACTTGAAACCCCATCGTCCGTATATAGCCATGTTGGGGACGTCCTTACTTGACTCAAGATAGCACTTCATGTCTTCAGCATCCGCTTGGTCCGTCACCATTTTCATCATTTTGGCCCCGACGCCCTTACCCTGTGCCTCAGGGAGAACGACCATGATGTTGAGAAAGTAGTAACCTCTGGGGTCTGTCCACAGCTCTTTTTGTGCCTTGGCTTGAGCCTCTTTCCAGATGTAGTATCTCTGCGAACAGACGGAGGGGTAAGCGATGCTAAGACTCGGCGAGGGTGTGAATAGTGTCTCACCTTAACATTCAAACCACCACGTCCGTACCACATGTTGTAGTTCACCTGCCCGAACCACAGACGCCACCCCTCGAGCCAATCGTTCCACGTCGATGGAGCATCAGCCGGCTGAGGGGGCAGCCACATTGCCACGCCAAGTACTTTGTCGTTTCCTTCCTCTTTCGCTACGTGAAAAATTCCATTACGCATTCCCCATCGCATTCGAAGGGCTAGTGACTGGTAATTTCTCTCCTGGCTGAACTATTGATAACGAATTATTAGTGAGAGACTTTGGATCAGGACCTCCAATGCTACCCACCTTAGACTGGTCATAGACCCACGTATTGTACGGATCCCCAGCAAAAGCTTGTCTGTGTGGCCCTGTCAGTCATTCTGTCATACATGCTCACGTTGCTCTGTCCTCACTTACTGAACCGCTTGGACTGCGCCAGGGATATCTTCCTCGGTGAGGGTTGTGACGTGGATCGCCATGATGAATGATGAGTGAGGGCCCGGGAGCGGCGCAAGTTCTGGACGACGCGCGGTGAGATGAGATATCAGAGATCAGATTGGCAATAGTCTCCTTTGTGACAGGTCGCGTGACCGAGAGAACCCGTTGACTATTATTCACAGCGAAAACTGCTTCCAAGCTAGCCCGAACGCGGGGGTTGTCGCCGTTTGGCTTCGGAAAGGCCCTGCGGGGTCGAGATAAGATCGCACAGAATTGCCCTGTAAGGTTAGCGGGATGAGATAAGTAATGATAAACCCCGCCATCGGGGAAGCTCAGCGCCACCACTCCTACGAATTGCGATAACTAATTGATCGACTACATCTGATCAACTTGACATGAGTGACTACCTTATTACTGTGACTGAACAATTGCTACGACTGCGACAGCCGAGATCCGAACGCGAAGAATTGATGATTAAGAGCTGAAGAGCGGCAATTGGCCAATCGCATCTAGATGCTGTCACTGCGCCAGTGCGGTGGCGCAAGAAGCCTCAACACGACGACGATGGTAGGGATACCCTCCGTGGAGATGGACAGGTGCTTAAAGCAAAAATCGGACGGATTCGAAACCTTCATCACGTTGACAGGTTCGTATGCGGCCGCAGCTTATTCGACAGCTAGGCCGCCCTTCTTATTTTTAACCCCGCGGTCACTCCGAAGGGACCTCGAAAGTCAGCCGCGGCCTCCAAATGACGCTGGCAAACTTTGGCGCATTGGTGTTATTGACCATGTCAAAAGGTATCTGATATTGAGCGGCGTGGAAGTGTAGCTCAGAATCTTACAGGTGCAGATGAGGCTCCTTTTTGAGATGCGATCGTTTGCCGATCGGATGATCACGCGGGAGATGAAATTACGGATGAATGTTTGCGTGTTGTGAACAGCGCCACGGGACGACGCAAACAAAACCCGGAAGATTCACCCGCTTAATTCGGTGATACTAATTGCGAGCCGAGCCGTTGGGGGAAATTGCGGCTTAATTGAGGCGGATCGTGGGCATGAAAAAGAAACGAAGGCGTTTCTCACCAGAGCACGCCTGTGTAGAGGACCATGACCGAAAACAATACTATTGGCGATGGATGAAAAGGGGAAAAGGCACGAAGAGGCAATCGTCGTCGAACATGGATCAGGCATAGTTCGGATGAAGAGGGAACACGTGAACCGTCAGTTGCGATTGGTCTTGTTATATCCGTACTTGGTGTACTATGTAATTCTTCGGACTGTTATTGATTCAAGTTGATGGCCAGATTGATTAGTACAAGGCTTAGTGGTGTTTCGCAGTCAGATGGTTGCCGGGCTGTGTTGTGTGAGAAGAGCGCATCGTCATTGTCCGAAGTGTTTGCTGGTGGTGGGCGGAAACTCTGAACCCCGAATGACCGTAGCGCAGGCGTCAATTAGTGCGCGGTTGAGGCGGCTTGCTGCCACACTCCATGTTGCCTCTCCCGTCGTCCGAATTACGACGGTATTTCTGGAGACTCGTTCAACACGTTGCAGCGACGCGTTCTTCAGCTCAATGCAAAAGTCTATCTAAAGCAACAGAGCAGAGGGCCAGACTTTCAGGGTCGCATCAGGTCAGATGGCGACACAGCGACCACAGAAGACAACCACGCGTTCCGTCAGCCGTGGGCCGTGGGGGCCCTGAGCCTGGAGGGAGCAGCAGCAGCAGCATTTTATGGGCCTTTCCCCCCAATATAAAAAAAGCTGGGAATTTCAGGTTTATTGCGTGTCGATCACTGCCGCGGGAGGATCGGAGCAGCCATGATGCAACCGATTCAGGGGCGCCCTTGCTCTCCCCGTTGAACTGTGGAAACTGGAAAGACTGCACTGCACCTGGTAACTGGACACTCACTGGACACTGGTCACACTCAACTGGACGTTGCCTCAGGTAAAAGAGTGGAGAGGCGGCGGCAAGTGTGAGCCCCTGACTTGTTGCATTGCATTGCACAGCACAGCTCACAGCATTGATGAGGAGCACTGCGAAGTGTCCTTTTTAAGACTCCAGCTGCACGTCGCAGATCCCGTTCGTCCTGTCTCATCATCCCAATTGTCACTCGTCGCGTCGTCTCAATCCCCCCGGCCGTCATCTCAACTCGCCCAAACTCTTTTTTTTTTTTCACGGCCAGGCGATTGACTCAAATACATTCACTCACTCACTTACGCACATTTAATTGCACTCGCATGCTCCCGCGAGTGCACTCACCCGCCCGAGCAAGACCGCTCCACCAGACGCCGTCATCATGATCAACAACGTCTGGGACAAGTCTGCGCGGGCGCAAAGGGGCCGCGAGCAGGAGACGGAGCTCCTCCCAAGGACCGAGCAGGATGGCCGCGACTGGCGCGAGGGCGACGACGAGAAGCAGCAAAAGGCCCAGGGCGCGGACTCGAGGAGGAACAGGGACAAGATCAGGTCTCTCGACGGTCTCCGCGGTATCGCCTGTCTAATCGTCTTCAACTACCACTTTTTCTGGCCATGGACGCCCTTCATCATGCTGGGAAACGGCGCGTTTCCCCCAGGAGCCCCTGAGCCCTACGTTGGATGGCACCAATTGCCCATCATCTGCTTGCTGCATCGCGGTCGGCCCATGGTCGCCATCTTCTTCGCCATATCCGGTTTTGTGCTCTGCAGGCATATCTTGAGAGCCATTCACGAACGGCGTGTCGAGGCCGCCTACAAGAGCCTCGCATCGTCCGTCCTGAGGCGCGTGTTCCGTCTCTACATCCCGCCCACCATCAGCATGGCCTTGGTGGCCCTGCTGGCTCAGATGGGCGCCTTCAAGTCCGAGAACGCCATCTTCAAGGGGCCTGATTCGGCCTACATCAACGGCACCGTCACCTTTGCCCACCCTCAGCTCGGCGAGTCCTGCATCAACGGAACCGTTGCCGCCGCCGGCCCCAAGAGCGTCGCCAAATACCTCCACCTCCAAACCCCGCTAACCCTGGGTAACCTAACAAACTTGACCGCATCATCAGACCAGCTCTGCTTGAACAAGACGTCCCAGCTCTTCATGCCAGCCATGCTCTACAGCTTCGTCGACAGTCTCGAGGTGGACCTCAAGCCGGAGAACAAATCAGCAAACGCCACCCTCAAGCAGATGGAATCCACCAAGCCGCGGCCCCGCGAGGAGAAGACTGGGGGTGGACACCTGGAGAAGATCTGGGGAAAACACAGGTCATCCACCCAGGAGCAGGCCGAGAAGGACATGGCCGAGGCCGCAAAGGCCAAGAACCTCACCACCACCCACAACATCACCTGGGTCCAGATGGGCGGCTCGTGGGAGGAGCACCCCATCATCCACGACAACATGACCTACGCCATCAAGAACTTTACCAGAGTCTACGCGGAGTGGGCGAACCCTTTTAACTTTGGCCACTACCACACCCGCTACGACCCTCACACCTTCACCATCCCCATGGAGCTCCGCGGTTCCATGTTCATCTACCTGTTCCTGCTCGGCACGGCGGCCATCAAGGCGAAGTGGAGGATGGGCATCGGCAGCTTCCTCTCCGTCTACAGCTTGATCTTCGGACGCTGGGACATGGCTGCCTTCATGGGTGGGATGGTGTTCTCCGAGATCGACATCCGACGTACGTCTGATACCCACGACGGCTCGCTCGGGTACCCCGGCAAGAGCGACCCCCGAGGCCGCCGAGCAACCCTCCTGCAGAGAGTCATCTCCGCAACAGCAACCCGTTGGATCACGATGTTCGTGGCACTCTACTTCCTTTCCTATCCCGACGCCTCGGCCGAATGGACCCCAGGTTTCGTTCTCCTTTCCTCTCTTGTGCCCCGCTACTACATCCCCCTATCCGGCTGGATGTTCTACCAGTCCATGGGAGCAATCCTCCTGCTCCCGTGCATCCTACGCAGCCCCGTCCTCGTCCGCCTCCTGGAAGGACAGGTGGCGCAGTATCTGGGCAGGATCAGCTTCTCGCTGTACCTCGTCCACGGCCCCGTGCTTCACAGCCTGGGCTTCTGGCTCATGCCGAGGCTCTTCGAGAATTTTGGCCGCGCACAGGGCTACGTCCTTGGCTGGATCATTCTGATGAGCGTAACATTATATCTGACGAACTTATGGAACAAGAAGATTGACGGCTGGAGCACGACCGTCGGCAGAAGGGTAGAGAAGGCGCTGATCGACTCGGCGTAGGCGTTAAAATGAAAACTGTCAGGGGCATTGTCGCTCTAGATAGAAATTGATTTGGCGTTTCGGACCTACACTTTGAGGCCTTTTGCTGGCGTAGCGAACGAAAATGACTGTCTCTGATCTTGAATGTATGAGATTAGTAAATCGTTGACTAAGAATTTACATGAAGTCTCAAGTTTCTATAAAACCACTCAGCCCCTGGAACACGCCGTCAACAGCACACACATCCACTCACAGCCCGACTAGACATTTGCAGAGTTTCCTAGCTGGCGGGAAAGCAGGATCCAGTCACCGCACGAGGTGGCATTAGAAATAAGCCGCGTCTTCAGGTCCACCCGCAAAATATCATTACCGGCGAACGAGACTGGCGTTCCCGCCGGGACAGTCCTAGAAGAAACCATCAGCTACCTTCAGCCATAAATCTTGAATCAGTCAAATATACGAATTGTAACCTGTCGTCACGGCGGTATACTGCCAATTGTACGCAATCTGGTCGCAAGAGTGCAGCAGGAACGTCGGCGTCTGCGTGCTGTTCGTCGTGGTGGCGTTCTGGGGCGTTATGATGGCGTCCCAGAGCTGGTTGATGTTCAACGTCGGGGGGCTAAAGGTGTCGTTGTAGCTTGTGACGTTTTCTGCGACGACGGCGGCGAGGTCGGCTTTGGTGGAGGTGAGCGGGGTGTTGAAGATGGCGAGCCAGCGGCGCGCGATGTCCTAGGCCTCGTCTTCGCAGAGGTAGGAGAGTTGGACTTTTGAGTGGGAGGAGGGGAGGGAGGGGGAGGAGGTTGTTGTTGTCGTTGTCCTGCCGTGCGCTGTTGCTGCGAAGGCGGCGAGGGGTAGTGAGAGGAGGATTGATGGTCGTATTTTGGTTGAGTCAGATGGTGAGAAGGTGAGGATGTAATTTAGGGTTTCTTGATACTAACTTGAAATGAGTGATAGGGTCTATTTGAATGAGCGGATACCTTGTTTAGTGAACTGGTTGCCGTCTGATACGAGGTTTTCTAATTGCTTCTATGGCGCACTTTTCAGAATGTATTTGAATGCAGACTGCTGTGAGGGACAACGCGGTAGAGCATGCGGATGAGTGGAACGGTGGCTGGCCTGACGACGTACTTGACGTGGGAGTCGTGAGGAATGTGGCGTCTCTGCATGTATGGCACTGGAGGCGGCACTCTTTTCAGCACGCCACGATAGCATCCACAAATGAACATCGAATCACTCTGAATCACTCTGGATTTTTGCGGGAACGAAGAGGAGTCTCGAGAAAATATCAATCGTTCCGAATGGATTGCGTTGTCTGGTAAGAAGCATGCGTTTGTGCGGCCTAACTTATACCTGCGCAAATGCCAGGTTCTTTTTCTTCCCTCCTAGCTGTTCGTATATAGCCTATTGATGTTGCGCTAGAAGTCTTCCCCACATATGACCGTCTGACTTGGTGTTCTAGTGCTCTCTTGATTTGATAATGCAGACACATAAGTAGCTTTCTTGCCACTATTATGCAGTCAAAGTCATAAAGGCAGCTGAATATTAGGGCACGCATGATCTATCTAGTCTGGGCCTGGAGATTGCTGAACAAGTACTTAGAACTAGGCTTATGACCTAGGAATTCTTCCAGCATCCCCATCTCGTCACGACTTCCGCCAAATTCGAGTATCCCGCGGTGGTACTTTTCCCACTGTTCCTGGCTGCGAGGATTTTCCTCAAAGTTGTGGTGAAAATGTCTGCAGCGAATACTGCCGCGCTATTTGGTGCTAACATTAGCTCTCTGGGAAGTTATTCTTGTATTGACAAACTTACTATAGATACGAGTAGTACCCTGCGTCCATTCTGGAAACCATATGATGAAAGTTGGACTGAGGATGTCCTCTATCTTCGGCGTTGGGATTGGGAAGCAGTCGGAGCCTCGCCATTGTGTCGTTGAATATGCCCGCAATATCCAAGTTTAAGGATTCTTGGTAAGTATCCGGGCCATGAACAGCCATGTCGAAGCGAGCAAACGCACTACTAACTTAGATTAGTATTCAGCAAAGCGAAGAGCGACATGACTTACAGCTGACGTAAAAGCCAAAGCGCCCTGTTTACATTCCTGCTTCTGATAAGAGGTCCCAGAAGCTTATTAGGTATCTTCTCAGGTGGGTCTGGATGGCCTGGGTTCTTTTGGCGCTAATCATCTAAAAGCTTGGGGTTCAATCTGGTGTAATGGCAGCTTATATGCCTTAACTTGTCCTCTATCCAACACTAGTTCTCCAGCATGACACTGGGGACCTCAAAGAAGTCAGGGGGCATGCGGTGTCCATGGACCATAACAGTGCGAGTCCTCGACACAAGATCGTGCATACCGTGGCCCAGCTCATGGAACAGAGACACGATCTCGCTGTGTTTGAGCAAAGCGCAGCCGGTTGTAGTTAGACGAGGGAAGGCGTATATCAGAATCGTCGCTGGGTAGACCCTAGTGCCGTCCGGTCTAAGATACCCACACTGAAGATTTACATTTTGTGAGCCTTGATGCTTGTTGGGTCTGATGAGGAGATCTGTGTATAAGGAGCTGACAAACTTGTCTTTGGTGGCTTCTCTGTCGTCCCAGACTGCCTATACCTGGATATTGTCATGCCAGACAGTATGCTGCTTCTGATCGGCCGTTAAGGGAACAAACTGCAGCTGCAGGCAAGAGGCGAATAGATCTAGTATTGCTGAGACAGAGTAGTCTAGTGGGAAGTACTTAGAGATCTGGCCATGTTTGACATCGATCTGCTCTTGTAGCAGGCGATTATAGTAATCATAATCCCAGGGGGGCATTGAGTCGTTGTCTTGCGGGAAGTCTTTCTTTCGAATATCCAAAAGTGCCCTCATCTCTTCTCGCCCTTTTCGCAAGAGGACATCTTCGAGTTCATCGAGGAAACTGTTCACCCACGTTGTGGTCTTGGCAACGCGAGCCTCCAACCGAAAGGCCGCGTGGCTTTCATATCCCAATAAACGCGCATTCTCGTCGCGCAAATCGATGACCTGCTTGAACAGGTCGACGTTCTCCGGGACCTTCCTTTCATTGGCGACGTAGACTCTTTTTCGGCTTGACGGTGTTGTAGCGTACTGCAAGACGGCGTTTACGTCTGCTCTCGTAAAACGTACAAACGCCTTATCCTTGGTGCTGGCCTCCGTGGAATGTTGTCTACTCAAGAAGCGAGCGAGGTCCTCCGCAGGCACCCCTTCAAGTTCGTCCAGGGAAAGCCAAATGCCGCCATCGTCATTTCGATAGTTGCGGTTGTACTGCTGTCTCAGCTCATCGATTTGGTTTCTCCTATTCAAGTAAACGGCCACCTGATCCTGGTCAAGACGCCCATGACCACCTCTTGTGAACTGCTGGATGTTGCTCTTGAGAAACTTGGCATCTTCGAAGTGGACCTCCTCAGCTTTGTCCTCAACAGCCTTGAGCAGATGATAAAAGTCCTTTCTTGCTACTCTCTCGGAGTCCCACTGTCGCAACAGTCCAATGGCAGCGTCTGATGCCTCACGGGCTAGTTGGTCCGGCGAGGCGTAGCGCAGCATTGCTATGACAGCGATTCGACCTTGCGTCTCGTTGTCCACATTGATCAATGGCCGGATGGCAGTGTCAAAGGTTGCCGATGCAGGGTCAATAGTCGCGGCCACATGATTCCAGGTGTCGGATTGCTCTTTGATGACCTGCTTCATGATTGGCATCACATCCTTTGCCGCTATCAGGTGAGGCGGCTCCTGAGGGGGGGCTATATTTGTCGTCGTCACTCTGGCCGCTGTCATAGTAGCATACACCGAAGTGCGTGTTATTTTGTAATAATTATGTTGAGGAAGTTTAAAGCCCACCCAAGGGGGATTCACGGTGAGGGGAAAAGCAGTAAAATTACCTCGGCCAGTGACCAATCCCATAGCTTCGTAGTGTACGTATTCAGGGAATGTCATGATAGTTATAAGAACGATTTTCTGTCACGAGATTCGAATCTGGTCGATACAACTAGTGGTTTTGAAATATATAGTAAGAAGAGGGGGATTCGATCCTATCGATCAGGGCGGAAGCCTGATTGGGTGCATGTGCCGCGCATCCGCGCATCTCAAGTCACAAGACTCGACGTAACAGTGGGCCTCAATCGCTTTTCATACTTCCTGCCTCATGTAGGGATACTTTCATGCGCGCGTGTCGGCTACTTCGAGGGTGAATAATCGATAGTAAGCGATAGAGACATCTCCCCCTGACGAGGAGCGCTGCCGAGTGCGACGCTTATCAATACGCAGGCATCCCACAATCTTAGGCTATGGAACGTATCCAACTCTTAAAGTCCATCAAATGTCTCATCATCCTCTGTGGTACATGAGAGGAAAGAAAGACTGTCAGAAATTGATCTTCATCGTATCATCCATGCCGACTTTTCACAGTAACCCGCGACTCCCACGTCAACATCTTTCTCCCTAGAGACCCTTAGACCTTGCCACATCCTCCATGATCCTGTTTACATCAAATTCCGCATTCTTGAAGTCATTCTCGATAATATCCTCCACCCACTTGCCTCTTGGCGTGAACACAGCCTCAAATGGCGAGGGTCCAATGACGATGCCCACCGGTACGGTGTCCCTGTCGTCAATGACCTTTTTCTTCTTCGTCTCTGGGTCAATGGGCGCTTCCATCTCATAAGCCCACAGCAGACGAGTCACCATGATCCATAAGATTTCCTTCGCGACATGCCTTCCAGGACAGACACGTCGCCCGTTCCCAAAGCCAATGATCGGAAGATCGTTCCTCTCCAACCAGCGCTCTGGTCTGAACTCCTCTGCATCCGCGCCAAAGGCAGCTTTGTCTCTAGCGAGGGAAAATTGAGAGGTGACAATGATCGTGCCTTTGGGGATTCTGTAACCCATGTACTCGTCTTCCTCCACGGAGAGGTGGTCGACTCCAGACGGCACCACGGGCCGGTAACGCATCACCTCGTCAATGATAGCGTCGATGTAAGGCATCCGCGACCGGTCATCGTGTGTGGGCAGACGATCACGTCCGACAACTTCGTCCAACACTTGCTGGGCTTTGTGCATGACTCGAGGGTAATTGACCATCATCACCAGGAACCAAGTGATGAAGGTAGGGCTGGTGTCGCCATTGGCAAGGAACAGCGTCCCAATGACCCAACTGATCTCTGTGTCGCTCAGCTCCATGTTCAATCGCTTCGCACTGTCGGCCACCTGCTTCGCGACGTTGTAGCCGGGCTGGTTCACTGCGTTGCGCAAGTTGCGAAGGTGGTAGGCCTCCTCTTCCTTGAACATGGACTCGGCACGCAGCTTCCAAGGAGAGAGTGCATAGGGAATGGACTTCAACCAAGGGAAAGTGTCGACGAGAGGTGGATTTTGCAGGGCTTGAAGCGTTGGGCATGTGAGGAGAAAGTCCATCTTGCCAGCAGTAGTGGGATCTTCTTTGACAAGACGGTCTCCGTAAAGAATGACATGGAGACTTCCAACGTTGGCTCGCTGGAAGTACCATCTTGGGTTGAAGGGACGCGAAGTTTGCGTGTCGGCGGGCCTAGGAGTCTGATCTCCCTCAGAGCCCGGCTGAGCCCTGGACTCTGTGAGAATGTCGTGGAGAAGCTGAAGAGACTCCAGGCGCAGGACTGGGTCGTATAGCGCAGCAGAGCGTGGGTTCAGCCCTGCTACATTCAACCTCTGATGTAGACGCATCTGAGCATCATACTGGCGGAAGATGAGATTGTACCCTTTGGAAACCAAGTCACCGGCCATAACGCTCAGATCGCGTCCGGAATACTTGGCTGCCCGCTTGTTGAGAAGCTCATGTGTTGCTTCCACAGTTGTCAAAATAACCGTGGGTTTCCCCAGAATATTGAGATAGACCAAGGGGCCGTAGTTGAACTTCCAAAGGTACTCTGTGAGCCATCTTCGGCTGTCTGGGTACTTGAGAAGGTTCCCGATGACTGGCCATCCTGGGGGACCAGGAGGCAGCGGGAGCTTAGAGCCCTTGGAGCGTGAATGATGGGCATAGAATAAGCAGGCAACCAAGAAAGAAGCGGCCAGAAAGACTTGCTGAGCAGCGATTGATGCCAACAGACTTTCTTTGCGGTCCAGCTCATCGCTGACAACCGTGATATTGAGTGTAGTTGAGTTCATGTTGGTTATGTGGTTGGGGCAGGGGAAAATGTTCAGTCTGTGTTGATGAGATAATCCCAAGCTGCGATGTGCTCTCCATCAGACGCACGCGGTATGTTTTTAAAACACCAGAGACATCACCTACAAAAGCCCTTGACGGAAGGTGTCACAAACAGTGCAATCAATATCTGGCAGTGTATCCGTGGCTCCTCGTTTATGGAGAAGCATAAATCCTGCCGAGCGGCCCGCTGGAGCAGTGAGCTGCGATGCATGTCAGACGTGAGAGACAATGCATGCTTGTCTCATCCAATAGGACAACCGGCAGCTGTGTTACGCAATGGTCTTGGCTCACAGTCCGACGTAGCTATCAGACCAGCATTTCAATTAGACAACTCCTTATTCGCCGCTCTGAAAAGATGCGCGCTGCATGCCAATTATCACATTGCCGGGTGCGGCCTGATGCTTCTCGTTGCATCGCGCGTCTGCAACTTGCGTATTCATCATTGAGTGTGAGAAAAAGGGTTGCGACTGCAACCGTGTACCGCATATTGCCAGATAGGGAATCCAACGGGGCAACTAAGTAAGTACATATGCACAGCCCGTAATGCCAAAGGGATCTGCGAATATCCTTCCTAATATCAAGCAATCTCAGTAATATCCCCTCCGGCCACGACATCGAAGAAGGCATCAGCAAGATAGCCCCCACGCGACGTCGGCTTTCCGTACTTATCCGTCGCCATGCCGGCAATGGAGGGGGCGGCAACGTCCCGCATGTATCCCGCAATCCCTTCCTTCTTGAACTTCTCCGCGAACTGCTTGGCGTGCAGACTGAGCCCTTGGGTCGCCCAGATTGGCTGGACCTGCCACACGATGCCCATCTTGGCAATGTCGGCCGGGAACGTCTCAACCTCCTCCGGTGAGTATCCTCCCTTGCTGAAATCATACGCACCCGTGTACCCGAAGGCGAAGAGGCGGTTCGGGTACGCCTCGCGGAGGGCTGTGTGGAACTCGTGCATGTCTTTCTTGTCTGGGAACAGGGTTAGCGGTTATTCGTCAGTCAAGTGAGGGGGTTTGCGGGAGGATGCACTTGGTTTGTCTAATAAGAATGTCAGCTCCTAACGCATGTGCTTTGTGATGTTTCAACCAAACGCACCTTGACGACTCCACGTCACATCACCGAGAGGTGCGGCGAGAATGCATCGGTCGATGACAGCTTTGGTGGACCATTGCCACATGTACTGGCCCAAGGGCGTCCTGGGAAGTTCCCAGTCAAAGGCAATATCCTGACCGACGATGCGCTTGGCCGCAGCTCGCCGGTCCTGCAATGCAACGGTCTTGTCGACGACCTCTGTCATGTAGGCCTCGTATTGTTCTTTGGTTGCCACAGATTTGACAGCTTCATCGAAGGTCATGAGGCCGGCAGAAGCCTTCCACTCGGACTTGACGGTAAGATAATCCTTTCCTGATCCCTTACCCTCCTCGATTGCTTGGATGAAGGAGCTAACCGGCTTGGTTGCGCCAAGCACATAAGGGTGGTCTCGGGGGTCAATCACACTTGTCAAGAGGTAAGCATACGTCCATGGCGAAGGACATGAGAGACAACAAAAACGGAAGTTTGAAGTCACGGCGTGGGAGAGAAAGGGGAGGGTTGTATCTCACCTCGTGATGAACTCGGCATGGTCGCTATCACAGCGACAGAGAAGCATGGTGTCCGCACTATGCAATGTGATTAGAGCGCATCCGTCTTGTTATTGCTATGCCATACTCACCCCATGATATCGAAAGTCATTCTCACGGTGGTCAGCCTGGACAAGTAGTCTGACGTGGGCACGATAGTCCGCCCTTCGCCATTGGTGAACTTCTTGAGACCCATTGCCAGATCATCTATATGGATCATCGCGACACCGGCCTCGACAAAGCTCCTTGTCAGCTTCATGCATCCAGTCAAAGTGCCGAACCCCATATCAGCGTCTGCGACAATGGGCAGCATATAGTCGATGCACTCGAGCGCCTCGCGGTCGGCTTCGCTGTACCGCATCCTTAATTGTGTCTGTCGCTGGTCGTGGAAGAGCTGGGTATTGAAGATTCGCTTGACAACAGATGGCACGAGGTCGGCGGGGTAGTCGGCATGGTCTTCACCGGGCCAGGTGGCTTGTGATAGCCCGCAAAGCGCGCCGGAGACATAGACAGTTTGCACTGCACAGCGTTAGCGGACTGAAAAGGCACGCCATCACAGTTGTTATGGCTATCATTCGTACTTGTCTTTGCCATCTCCTTGGCAATCAGGGGCTCAGTTGTTCCGAACGTGAGTTCGTATGTGCCATTGTCGTTGTGCTCATTCAGGATGCGCCAAAGCTTCCTTCCCTGAACACTGGACGGATAGTCGATTTTAAATCCAACATTCCTCAAAGCGGCGATAGAATTGGCCGTGTATGGTCTGTTACAAGTTAGACGGAACAAGTACTAATATCCCACTCCATCACTCAGTCACTGTGATCAACAATGCTAGTGAGCCTGGTCATAGCAAAAAGAAACTTGACAGATGGGGGGTTTAGGCAGAAATTAAGATCTGTGTTAGGGTTTTGAAAGGAAAGAAACAAACCTCTTGATCTGTTTTTGCCTGTCGGTCTCCCACCACGCCTCAATCTCCTTGACCTCCGCCGCGAAGGCATCGCTCTCAGCTTTAACGTCAGGCCACTTCAGAGACATCTTTCAAACAGCTTGATGGATCTTATAATGCGATACAGAGCAATTGAGAACAATGTCTATCAAGAATCTGGTTTGTTCACTACGATGCGTTGTGCGGGGGCAACGGTCCTTTTGGCCATCATCTCGCGACCACACTGATCAACAAGCCATTCGGCCTACCTTACCCGACGTCGGACACCAACAAATCATCCCATCACCCCCTCATTATTTCCTATCGATGCTGAGCCTCAACCACGCCATTCATTATGCATCATGTTAGTGATAGGCGATAGGCAAGGCCAACCCACCGGTCGGGATCCTGTCGGAGTGCACCCCTAGCGCCCGACGACTCTGCAGGGGTCCCCGGCCACCATCGGGGAACGTCTCCCGATAAGAAACTCCCGGCAACGAGGGGGAGGGGCCGGGAAACTCAGTCCACAGCCGTGTAAGCCGTGTTGTCCGACCATCATATCCAGCAGACAATCGCAGGATCACCTCAATGCCCTCCCGCAGTTTCCAAGCACTCATCTAAGTAGTTCTGCGCAACACTCTCATCAATCAATATGGGCAGCAACATCGCCAGCGACGCCGTCAAACCGGCATCTCTCATCAATCCCCAGCTAGGATGGCCTTCACCCCGTCTCTTCGCCGCAAGCGGTCTCCTCGAGGGGACCAACCAGGTCCTCAGTTCAGACACTGAGACAGCCGCTGCGCTCGTCTACGGCCCTCACGTGGGGCATCCTCCTCTCCGCAAAAGCGTGGCAGAATGGCTCTCCTCGGTCTACGGGACGCCAGCTGATTTCGAAAGAATAAGCATCAGCAACGGCGCCTCGGGAAACCTTGCCAACGTCCTGTTGAAATTCACCGATCCGCTCTACACGCGCAAGATCTTCATGGTTGAGCCGACATACTTCCTCGCGTGCCCCATCTTTGAAGACAATGGGTTCCAGGGCAAGCTGAAAGGTGTCCCTGAGGACAATGAGGAGGGTCTCGACATTGCTTTTCTTCGACGCGAGCTAGAGGCTGCAGAGGCGCAAGCATCGGACAAGGCCAAGACATCTGGACAACCGGACGCCCCGACGATCAAGACTGGAAAGACATACCCTAAAATCTACAAATACGTCATCTACCTCGTCCCGACTTTCTCCAACCCCAGTGCAAAGACTCTTTCTCTGCAGATGCGGAAGGATCTTGTCAGCCTTGCTCGCGATTATGACGCTCTTATAATTTCAGACGACGTCTACGACTTCCTTAGCTGGCCGGAAGATCCCTCTGCTGCCGCAGACGCTGTAGCCACTGTGCCTCCTCGCCTTGTCGATGTCGACCGAGAGATGCCTGGATACAGCCAATTTGGTAACACAGTCAGCAACGGCTCGTTTTCCAAAGTCATTGGACCAGGTGTTCGAGTCGGATGGGCGGAGAGCACGCCAGCCTTTGCTAAGGAGCTGGGAGAGGTGTAAGTTACGGATGCTATTCCTCCTATTCTCATTTACCATTTGACTAATTTGATACAATCAGCGGCTCTTCAAGCTCGGGTGGTGCACCTTCACACCTCACCTCTACCTTCGTCGACAAGATGCTCCGAAACGGTCAGCTTCAATCCCACATCAAGAACACGCTCGTTCCCACGTACCGAGAGAGATACTACGCGCTCATGTCAGCCATCGAAAATGTTTTAGTTCCTCTCGGAGTTCGTGTTGAAGTGAACAGGCCCAAAAACGCAGGCTCACCAACGGCGGGGGGATTCTTCACGTACCTCAGGCTACCGGACGACCTTCCCGTCGCCAAGAACGTGGCCGCGATTGCGCTGAAGGATCAACTGTTGCGCGTGGCTTTCGGTCATATGTTCACCGTCACTGGAGACAAGAGCAGCGTGTCTCGGGCGGAGGCAGAAGATGGATTTGCCCGATGTATCAGACTTTGCTGGGCGTGGCATGAAGTTGCAGAAATCAAAGAGGGAATTGACAGACTAGGTGCTACGATTGTTGACGTCAGGGAAAGGATCAAGAAGGGAGAAGACTTGCGTAGCCCTGTAACTATTGGAATCAGGTAGTCAAATTGGACATCGCGAGTTGAAATGTCACAAGTTGATCGTAGTCAAAGTCCTGCGTGGGTCTGTTTCCCCTAAAGTGAACCGAGCGTTCAGTTTTGGTGGTAGATTTCAATCCGGAAAAGAGTCCGTCTTGATTTAGCCAAGGCTATGGGAGATTTTGGAAGCGATTTATCACGCTATGAAAGAAAAGGGAACTACGGCGCATATTGAACATTCTCTCATTGATATCTTAACTCCCCCGACAGTATGTAAATCCCTCTGATATCCCTAATGGTTGATCTACAATAATTGAAACAAGCATCAACCCAAACCCGGAATCATTGTCCAGCCTCAAATAATGGTAGCAGAGTTGCGAACAGGCTCCACAGCGCCCACCAACTTATTCTCAATCTCCTTCTCTTGAGCGTCCACAGGGTCAGCGACCTCAGCCTCGGAGGCCAGCTGGTTTGCAACTGCCGCAGCCTCTTGCCGGAGCTGACGTTTGTGCAGAAAGTCCGCGACAACTGCCAAACACTCGTTAGCACGCCTCGTTGTTTTCGTATACGACGTAGGTTTGACTTACGGACGAGTACCACCGCAGCAAGCGCAAAGGATAGAATCGAAGGGAATCCTCGCTCGAACTTGGGAGCCATGGTCTGGGGGAAGATGAGAATCGGCAGGAAAGAGTCTGTTCACCACCCGTTAGTCGCAAAGTCTCTGATGGGATGACAGGTAGCTCACTGGTTGCGTAGAACAGTCCGTTCATGCTGGAGATCGTCAAGGCCCTCTCCTCGGCGTTGCCGTTGTTGACCTCGTTGGCCCAGGTCTGCTCCCAGTCAGCTGAATCGATCACTTAGTAGGTCCAAGAGGTCACTCACCCAGGTCACGGCAGTCACGTAACCGCAGGCAACCAAGAAGAAGCCCGCGACGCGAGCGCCGTCGGAGGCGGGGTAGGCGGTGAGGATAGAGGAACCGACGACGGTCGTGCCGAGCTGTGAAGTCTTGTCAGCAGTTTGTCTCTGATGAAAGAGAGAAGGATATTTACCAATGGGCCAACCATCCACATAGGTCGGTTTCCTGTCAGATCCGACATGAAACCCCACGAAAAGTCGGTCACCATCGTGACGAGGTTGGCACAGGCCGGGATGACGTTGCGCTGGGTGACGCTGTATCCGTTCTCGCCTATCATCCGTTAGCTTGGCCTCTTTTCTGCCGTCAAAGGACAAAACATACGCAGGTAGATGGCGAAGTAGTTATTCGCCTGGCACGAGTTCCCATACTACCAGCAACAGTCAGCAACCCCCCAGCCCATCACACGCATCATCCGCACCAGGGGGGAGACTCACAAAGATGTACATCAGACACAGCACCCACCACCGCCAGTTCCCAAACATGCGCTTGACGAGCTTCAGGTCCATGACGCCCGTGATCTCGACCCGGCCCAGCTTCGCGGAGCGCTGCATCGCAAGTCGCTTGTCCTCCTCGGTGATGTACCACGCCGTCGTGTTGTGCGGGTAGTCCGGCAGCAGGAACCACACGGACAGCGCGATCGGCAGGCTCATGCACCCGCAGATGATGTACATCCAGCGCCAGCCCGCCATGCCGAGGTGCCCGTCGAGGCCCTTGTGGATGCCGGCCTGGAGGAAGCCCGAGGTCGCTTGGCCGAAGAAGCCGGTGACGTGCCAGACGGCGACGCGCCTTGGAGTAGAGTCAGTATTTTGTTTGGACGTGTGGGATGTGGGAGTTGGGGACGCACTTTGCGAGTTCTGTCTTGGTGTACCACGAGCCGAGCAGGAAGATTATGATGGGCGAGAAGGGGCTTTCGAAGAGGCCGACCATGAAGCGGAAGGCGTACATTTGGTTGCTTGTTTGGGCTGCAGCCTGCGCGAAGCTGTTCAGTCCGAGTTAGCCATCTATTCATAGAACGGTGTGCTGAATATGAATCTTACGTGAATGCTGTCCAGCCGAGCTCGCAGACCACGAGGCAGATACGAGGACGGACTTTGAGGGCGATCATGTTTGCTGGGATTTGCATAATAGCAAAGGCGATGGTGTAGCACACTTCAGAACACAACTCCGTTAGACGATTCATCTCGGTCATCCCATTTTGCACTTACTCAACATGTACGTGTATTCGTTTCCCTTGATGTTCAAATCCTCCTTCATGCCACTGACGTCTATCACTTTTTGTTAGAACACCATCTCCCTCTTCGAAAGGGGCTACTCACATGCGTTGGTGATGTTACTCTGGTCAATGTATTTCATCCACTATCAAACTTGTCAGCGACCCCAAAGAGGCCACAAGGAAGGGGGAACTCACCCATCCCAACGTCGCACAGATGAGAATCCCAAAATCCAACTTCCTCACCAGAGCCCTCTCCTGCGGACTCTTCAGATGCTGGTCCGCATCCCAGAGATGATACAAAATCTTCTTCCCAAAGGAGACGTTGTGCGCCTCGTGCGCGCCAACGCCAACGTCAGAAGCATCGGGAGACATGGCCGAGTTGACCTCGTGGCTTTTCTTGCCGTCCATGGCCGAGTCGCGTTGTGTGCGAATTGAACAACGAAAGTCTTCAACACAAGGCTTCAGCAAATCAAGGTAGTAAGAACCGGTGGGAGTTTCGACACCGAGGCACACCTTGGACAATGAACTCCCACTCCATAATGTAAGTTTTATTATCCTCTGAAAAGACTACGGGTTAATGATAACCAGCCACCGCACCAAACCCAAACCCCGGCCAAACATGCTGCATCTCCCATCCAACTGCACGGTATCAACAGTATCAGCAGATCAAAAGCGCAAGCCAAGACCTCACTACCCCCGGTGGATCCCCTCAATCTTTCGGCATCCTGCCCGAAGATAAGCTGCGTTGGACATAATGGCGCCCCTCTTGTCGGGCGTCGTCCGATATACTCCCCTTTCTTTCTCCCCCCGATCGCTTTCCCCGCATTCTTATCATTTGACACCAACCCCGGTCCCCGGATAAGC